AGCCTCCCTCCTCTGTTTGCATCAGAAGTCAGAAAATCAACGGGTGAGTATTGAATTAGAGGAAGCAGGGGCGCCTGGGTGGCTCAGTGGGTTAGGTCTCTACCTTCAGCTTGGGGCATGATCTCAGGGTCTTGGGATTGAGCCCTGCATCGGGCTCTCTGCTCAGCAGGGAGCCTGCTTCCCCCCCTCTCTCTGCCTGCTTCTCTGCCTACTCATGATCTCTGTCTGTCAAATACATAAATAAGATCTTAAAAAAAAAAAAAATAGAGGAAGCTGATGTGGCTTTGTGACCTGATGTGGGCCTGACATGCCTGTACCCATGTTAGGACTAGACCTGCCAGGGATGCCATCAAATGGCTCAGTGGAACCAGGCTCCTTCCCCTTGACAGGCATGAGTGGACATATCTACCAGGCTTTAGTGTTCCTTTTCTTTGTCTCTGTCATGGACAGCTTCTTTCTGACTGCCAGTCTTTAACATGGGCCTTCTTATTTAAGGTAATTCTGCCATCTCTGCTTTGGCCGTGGATGTGTTCATTTGAGTTTTAGTCTCACAGGCAATCTTATTTCTGTCTCCTGTGGGTTTGGTCACAGATATTGCAGCCCTGGGGTTGTGATCAGGTGGAATACTACACCCAGGCTCACAGGGTCCAGATGGTATGTGTCTGTTCACCCTCCAGTTACTACACCCAGGCAGCTTAAAACCTACCTTCAAGGGAGCTGGCTTCTGGGACACACTGTGACCCACTGGGACACATCTCTTGCCCCTACCCCTTCCTTTCCCTCACTGTGATGCTTTCCTTCATTTCTGCCATTGAAGCCCACCTCCTGAAGGCTCAGGGGCCTGCTGAGGGTGGTCTTCTACATGCTTACCACAATGTGCCTCTGTTGCCTGTGTCAAACCCTGCATCCATAGCTTATATATGAACATGCCCTTCCTGTTGTATTATTTGCTCCTCTGAGACTAGCACCACACTGATCAATCCTAGTTTCTTCACATCATTTAGTGGGCTGCTGTCTACCTAGCAGGTGCTTGATGTTGTTGAAAAATGAAAGCAAGAGGGAGAAATTCCATGTTATAACTATAAAATGCAGAGAAGAAAAAACAACTCTGGTAACCTCTTGTACTTTCAGGCTTACAAAGTACTTTTATTCACAGTATCTCAATTTATCTTTATAACAACTCTGTAGAGGGGAGCTTCTATCCCTTTAAAGTCAATCAGGCTTTTGTCTTAAATTTCCGTTAAACTTTATCTTAGAGCCTCTGGACCAAGAAGATAAAATCCCCAGTCAGTTCTGGTATATCAGAGGGGAGGAAGGAACCTGCCCAGAGATCTGGTCTGAAGCAGAAAGAACAGCATCAATGAAGCAAAAGTGGAAAAGGAAGACAGGCCCTGGTGCTTGTTTGGGCAGCTGACTGGGTGAGATTAGCCCACGTGGAGTTGGTAGACGTCCACCTGCACCACGGCTAAGAGCCCCTGAAAGGAAAAAACAGTTTTCTTCCTCTGTTTTCATTGTGAAAGGATATTTTTAAAGAAAGGATAAAATCATGGCTCTTCTACAACTAAAGAATGAACAAATGTTAAAGATTTTATTGGCTCATTATACAGATGAGGGAACTAGTTTTTAGAACCCGTTCAAAGGACAAAAAACACACGTTTATTTGTAGTCAAGGAATGTCAGAAGATTGTGCAAAAGGAATAAACCTGGCTTTTCCAGAGGAAGCGGGACTATCCCTCATGGGATGGGATGCATTTACATATCTATAGACAAGGAGTAATTTGAATTGCTGTCAGTTCTTGATAACTTTAGTAACACCTGAAGGGTGTTTTCCACGGAAGCACAAATTCTCCTATCACTTCACAGATTCTAAAATTGAGCTACTTAGTAGAACAGAAGAAATCCACAGTGCTGGGCAAGTCACTTACCTGAATCTCAGTTTCTTTATTTGTAATGTGAGGTTGACACTATTCACTGGTCTGGTCACTGTGAGCATTAATAAGATCATGCTTTTAGGAGTTTATCACAGTGCCCAGACATAACAGGTATTTTTAATAAGTATCAGCTGTTGTTACTGTCCTGTTAAGTGACATTAAACTCCACAAGTAGAGTGATGATGGCAGAATGAATGAATGTAGAGAACTTATTTCCTTTATAAATGTAGAGTCAGAAGCAACTAGCATATGTGCGTTTAAATGTATATCTTGTTCTACTTAAGAAGTCCCCTGGGAGGAAGATCCTTGCCTTAGCATCTTTTCTTTCCCCCATTTTGATAAACATGGAGTCAGCCAGGGAAGTTGGTGGCCTTTCTAGTGGCTTGATTTGGATCATCTACAGGTAACCTCCCTTACAAAATTCTTCCAAGGAAGTCTGTTTATTAAGTTAAGGTTACACACACACTCACAGGGGCCAGGTGCTTCACATTCAGGTGTTCTCATACTTGTCACCACGCGCCTAGTCTAAATCATAGCTTTCCTTGCCTAACTCATCTCCTTGCATCCATTCTTGCCTGGCCCCCCCTCTTCCTGTCCTCTATAGAGAAGTCAAAGTGATCGTAACATGTAAAATGGAGCAAGTCACTGCTTTTATTAATAATCTTCAATAGTGTGACCCTGTATTTTTAATGAAATTCAACCTCTTTCCCAGGGACTATGAGACCCTATATGATTCCTGCCTATTTCTCCAACTGCCTGATGACCCAGTCTTCCTGTTACTGACCCTGTCCCTGCCACACCTCACTGTTGGTCATCCTGGAATTCTCTTCTCTCTGCTGGTGACAATGACTGCTTCTTCTCTTTCACCTCCACAAAAAGAACTTTCCTGACCACCCACTTAAAGTAGGACCCCCTGCCCATCCTACAGCTTACTGTCTCAGCCTCATTATGTCTCTTAAAGCCTTTTTTCCACTTTTGTTTTTTTTCTGCCCCTCCACTGGAGTATTGGCTCCATGATTCTGTCTCATTCTCTGCTATATGCTCACACTGTGCAGCAGCCACTCCGTACATCTTGGCTGAATGAAGAAAAATCTCTTATAGTCGACTGAGCCTTCATATCTTTTATGATAGGCAAAATAAATACTTTATTATTGCTGGCAGGAATGTAAACTGATACTGCTTATCTGAAAGTAAACTTGGTAATGAGTATCAAGACTCTTAAAAATGCTCTCAACCCTCCACTCCATTTGGAGGAATCAGTATAAAATAATCAGAGATGTAGTACAAGATTTAATGACAGGTTCAGCCTTTTAGAAAAAGATGAGTATTCAGATACAAATGAACCACCCAACAGTGGGGATATGATTAAAGCGTTCTTAATACGGAATACTGCACAATCATTAAATCACATCTTCAGTGGTAAATAAAAAGGTGGAATGGAAAACTTTATATTTCAATTTGGCTAAAAATAAACATATGTATAGAAAAGCCCCAAGGAAATAACTACTCTTTTGCTTAGATATATTACTAGACAGTGAGATTTAGGGTGATTTTAATTTTCTTTTTATTCTTGGATATTCCAAATTTTCTAAGACAAGCTGCAGTTTTATAAACAGAGTAAAACATGTATTAGTTAAAATAAAGACTTGGGGCACCTGGGTGGCTCAGTTGGTTTAGCACAGGTCATGACCCCAGGGTCCTGGGATTGAGACCCACATCAGGCTCCCTGCTCATGGGGGTGCCTACTTCTCTCTCCCACTAACACTGCTCATGCTCTCTCTATAATAAATAAATAAAATCTTTTTAAAAAATTACAAAATACAAACAGACTCAATAAATCCAGCTTCATGCTTCCCTGAGTTACTGTGCCACACCAATTAAAGTTAACTCTATTATTGTTTCTAAAGCATATTTAGACCGTCCTTAGTGGGTCAGTGTAGTAGTCCCTCCAAGAAACAAAACAAGACAAAGCAAAACAATTCTTTGATATGGGACTTTATTGACTTATTCTGTCTACCACTTAACAAAGCAACTTGATATATGAGTCTCATTTCTGGGATTCCTTAAATTAGTTATGTTTGTAATATTTGAGGATCAACTTTTTGTAAGAGTAGGTATGTGTAATATGAGAGTTTTTCCAGACAGGACTCCTTCTGTGAAGAGACTTCTAGTTCAAATGTTACTCCTCTCAACCTCAAGTTAAATCCCTTAGAGGTCTGTGTTATATTTATAAAAGCCTTCCCTGGCTGGCTCTGGCAGGACCGAGAGCTGCCAACCGTCACAGCCAGGAGCACTCAGACAGTCTGGCAAGAAACAGAGTAAGGTCAAATTATTTTTAGTTGAAGTTTAGAAAGCATTAGCTGCCTTGTCAAGACTGGAATGAGAAGCCCATGATGTTGCTGCCTGAAAAGTGTTTCCACTTCATTGCTACTACTGATGTGAGATTAGCCCAGTGATAATTGTGGTTGAAAATAGAGATGAAAGACCTTGAGGACACCAACATGGTTCACTTATATGTACACGTACAATACACACTGTACATTGTAATCTATTCACAAAAAGTTACAATGATGGCCCCTGACCTCTTTCATGCTTCTCAGCATGACCCCTGAGAAAATGCCACAGAACTGTGGTTCTGTGTCTCCCTCTTCCTGTCCCAGAGATACCAGCCTAGAGACATCAGCAGCAGAATGTCCTTATCTAAATGAGTAATGGAGGAGAAGTGATAGGGTAGGCCAGGGAGTGGGAAAGTTTAACAAAATAGCAATTTTCAGGTTCTGTCAAGCGCTATGAAAACTGCTTTCCCCAGTGCTGTTGATGAAAGGTGTATACTCCCCCTGAAATCCTAACTTAAAAATGTAGGCACATCAGACTCAGGATACAGAGCAGGGATGTTGGTTGGGGGGAGCTCAGAAGGTAAATCCTGTATTTTTAGACCTTCCATAGAAAAGCAAAATGATGAGGCAAAAAAAAAAAAAAAAATTGAAATCACATCTCTTTTTTGTGTGTGCCCTATGCTCTGTATTCTAGAAAAACTCAAATTAATTAAAATACAACAATTAAACTGGGTTTTATAAAACATCTTTTACTTAAAAATGAGGCCTCCTGGGGGCTGTCAACATAGATGTATGTGTCACACATGAATAAAGCAAAGTTAAAGCATGAAACTTAACTGGTATAAAATTAGTGCCAGAGAGTGCTTTGCAACCGTTTTACATGAAATAAATACTACTATTTTAAACCCCAGTGCTTCCCTATTGAGGCTGAATCATGGTAAATGAAAACCTCTTTGGGTTGGGAGAGCATCTGGAGCTGGGATGTGCAAAATGGACATGGAGCTCAGTTTTGGAGTTGGTGGCAGAGGTGGAGGGCGATGTGGGAGGGAAGATTCCAGCTGGGAGGAGGGAGGGCCCCAAAGGACTGGTGAGATGGTGTGGGATAAGCAGGGATGCAGCTGGGTGACTGGGGACAGTTAAGAAGGATGTCTGAGAGTCAAAACTGAGGTTGCCCATGTTGCTGTGATGTAAATCTGCCATCATTTCCACCTTTTGCAAACCTTTAGCTAATTAACCTTTTTTTTAAGCAAGGTGACTATGAAATTAAAAACTCTCTGGGATTTAACTGTTTCCTTTGCTGTGCAAAAGGTTTTGATCTTGATGAAGTCCCATTCAGAGTATCTAGGGAGGTCACTGGACTTTTAGTTGGGTATGGAATGGAGGTTTGAGCAATCTTATCTAGCAGGAATATCTGAACAGGTGACTGGATTACCCAAGACTACTTAATGTGAGTGAACTTTATATACATATCAACATGGCATTCTTCCCTTGAAGTTCACCTATTTTTGAACAGGAAGATGGGTATAGAGAGGCAAATCATATATAAACAGCTGAATCTCCGAAAGTACAAAACCTCAGTAAGTATCTTTCATACGATTTTTTGCCTTCTCTTTCTGCATTTTGATAAGTTGCTACTGCAGTGGTCTTCCAGATGCAGCCAGAAGATGAAGAACACTGGGAGGCTTGGGAAATAGGGTGGTCTTAATAATACATGTTCTTATCCCACCAGCCTGTAGAGGTAGAAAAAGGTTAATGAGAAATTAGGAGTCCGTTGAAGTAGATAAGCAGAGTCTCAAAAATCCTATTACCACTTACTTCCAGGGTAGAGTCTGATGAAAAGTTTTCGCACCTCATCATACACCCAAATCAGAATGGCAAATGGCACAGCCACAAACCAATACTGAGGCCTGGAAGCAGAAAGGAGGAAGGTAAGTCTGAATGTATCCAAAGAAAGGGCCAAGCACCCTGCCAGTGGGCAGAGGGCTTCTTGTTCATTTTTCTGCCCTACTGGAAAGAACAACACATCCATTGGGTCATACAACATAAAATTGGCAAGCTTCTTATTTAAACTCGACTGTGACTGGTAGAAACAATATATGCCTTTGAAGTGGCCTACTGGATGAAGGTAGAGATGGGATGGTGTTAGAAAACCCACTGCCTCTTCTGGGAAAACTCACAGGTCAAAATCTCTGACTAAAATAGAACCAATTTGGTTTTATCTCATTTGAAAGCCTGAGGGGAAAAACCCCACTGGAATCCTAATATTTACTTAGGCTGTGACAGCTCAGACAGGGCTGGCTCTTTCCTGTCTATTTAAGAGGAACTCACCGGAGCATCGTGAAACTCAGGGCCGTGACACTTCCAAGCCCGTAGGAGAGGATTAATGCAATGATAATCTGTGAGGCAATCCCCACCCAGATGACTTTATTTCTACAAGAAACATAAAAGACAAACAGATTCTGAATTCACATGGCCATAGGACCACACAGTAGGGGAGTCAAGGCCTCATGTATTATAGGCCCAACCCTCATCATTACTGCATCGAATTCCCAAGGCTGAACTACCAGGTTGGATGTGGGCAGTACCTGAAGAGACCCTGCTGGAAGATGGAGTTCCTCCTGGTTTTCCTGATGATTAGATCTGCTATTTGTTGGACCATGATGCCAACAAAGAAAGCCGTATAGCCCATCCATTCTAAGTATTTCCTTTGGTACCATGTCTGTCAATGGACAAAAAGGAGACTGTGAAACCCCAGAGGGAAGACTTCAGGAATATTTCAATGTAGTTCTGTCAAGTTTTACTCTCTTCCCACCTCACCAAGATTGACAGAGGATCACCTCCTTGTGTTTGGAAAAAACCTTTTTTTTCTTTATTCAGTTGAGTAGTGAAAATGCTAACTTAATTGATTTGGCCCCACTGTGGGTATTGTTGGACCTGTCACTCATCCATACCAACTGCAAAGCCAATGTAAGAAAGTGAGCTCAAGGCATCTAATTCAAGAGAGGAGGCTGAGTTCTGGCAAAGGCCAAACCAATATAACAAAGCAGTCCATAAGCCCTATTAACTAAGAAAACTTCCACCTTCTCTGTCTCATTAAGGCTGTCCAGGGAAATGAAAGCTCTGCATCAGTATGGGCAAGGCAGTGAGAGGAGGGGAATAGCAGGACTTTGAAGGCAGAGCCTCCTTCCCTTACCCACTGTTGTCCATAGCTGTCTTCCAAGTCATTCACATTGCTATCTTCCCATTCCACCCGGATGTTAATGAGAATGCTGGGTTTAAAGCCCTCCTGTGCATACACAGTGAAATATACAACAAAAGCTCCCACAGCTTGCATGAGGCCTGAAAGCACAAGAGGTAAGGACAGATGTTCATACATGACTTCAGAATTGCGCCTGTGCTCACTTTCCTTTCGGTTCCTCCCATCCCATCCCAACCCTGCCCCCAAGGAAAAACAGTTTCTGACTGTGACTGGAATGAATTCTCAGGGTGGTCCTTTATCTGACAGGTCAGCAATGGCTTCATCGTACCAATGTGCAGGTAAGAGTATATGGCAAGTTGCTGATTCACCAGTCTGTCCTTCTTCTTGTGGCGAGGATTCCTGTTCATAATGTCACTTTCAGCTTTCTCATAAGCCAAGGCAATGGAGGGGATCTAGAGGGAAGACAGTCCATGAGGCCTAGCCCTGAAACACTGTGCTGTACCAACAGAGCGATAATGGCAGTGGCATAACCATGGGCCTCAGGGTGGGAGGTGGGGTAGACTGTGGTGGTGGTAGGGTTATGTAACTGGTCTATCCAGGGTGTAGGCAATGGGGGTTCATTGTTTCTAGAGAATTTAAAAACAGTTTGCTTTAAAAATCAATCTGTTTTTTTATTATCACCATGTGCTGGCAGTTCTAAAGATGCTAACTATAAAACATGTTGTTTCCCCCTCTGGGCAGATTTTTCCTACCATCCTCTCTTCCTTAGGCATGCCACTGGAACACACTGGTTCTCTCACAGGTCCTCCCACCTGGAAGGCTTGTTAAAGGTCAGATCACTGGGTCCCACCTCCCACCTGGGGTCTCTCCCAAGGTGTGAGCTGGAGCCAGAGAATCTGTGTTTCTAACAATTCCCCAGGTGATGCCTGAACCACACTGTGAGAAGCACTGCAGTGGAGAAAAAGAAGTGAATTGAAAGAGCCTGGAAAATGATCTGACTGTAAACCACGAGGACCCCAGTTCCCCTCTAAGGCAAAGATATCTTTTATCTCTCTGCAATGTGTTGATTGCCTGGGTATTGTATCAAACAAGAGGGTAGGAAGTGGCCATTTGGAGCATCCTCACTGTGAATTCAGCTCGCTCACTGTTGCCTTTCCCCCCCTTTGCTTACATAAACTGGAACCATGTGGGTAACTGTCCTGATACTTTCTTAAATGGATACATACCAGAAGAAGGAAGGGTTTGGGTGATATTATTGTAGGTGAGGCCTGATCAATGTGAGGCCTGATCACATGTTAATACCTTCTACTTCTAACTGCATGTAGGTGAGGGGCTTCCAGATCAGATTCTTTGACTTGACAAGGGGCAGTTGTGGCTTATCACATAGGCCATTGGGCCCCTGGTGTTACAGGGGCTATTTAGTGATAGCTCTATCTTCTCAAAGGGGAAGGGAGGCATGTTAGCTGAAACTGACCAATGGCATATGCTGGCGGGAGGCTTAAGAACTCAAGTCTTGAAAAGCTCTTATTGGAAATGAAGTGGTTTTAACTTCCAAACATTTGAGAGCTCTCTCTAGTCCTTTGCTTTGAAGTGTGGCTGGTGGACCAGCGGAATTGGCATCACTTAAACGCATGTTAGAAATGCAGAACTTCTGACCCCATCACATCGAAGTTTGAGGAGCACTGACTTAGTCCATCTCCTCAACCTTGAAGGTAATGGCCCCAAAGTTTACACCTCCTGGGTCAATTATCAGAATCTGTTCCCTTTAGTGCTACTTACTATGTCTGTGCCCAAGTCGATGAACAAGATAGTAATGGTGCCAATCGGCAGGGGAAGCCCAACAATGATGTAGATCAGAAAGGGACACAGCTCAGCAATGTTCTTGGTCAGGGTGTAAGCGATAGTCTTCTTTAAGTTGTCAAAGATCAGGCGACCTAGGCAAAGATGTTGCTTTCATAGGACTTGCTTTTGATCACCCCAGGTGACCCCTGTCTTCGTAAGACCATTTGATACCTCACTCACCTTCCTCCACCCCTGTGACTATGGATGCAAAGTTGTCATCCAACAAGATCATGTCAGCTGCATTTTTGGCTGCATCAGAACCTGCTATCCCCATGGCAATCCCAATATCTGCCTTCTTTAGAGCTGGAGAGTCATTAACGCCATCTCCTGTCACAGCAACAACTGCATTCTATGGGGACACATGAGAGAATGGGAATCAGCAGATCTAAGGGGTCATAGAGAAGGAAGATCAACATAGTCTCCCTTTTCCTCTGGAGGATATAGGGCCAACTGGAACTGAGATGAATGGCCTGTTTTTGGGAAAAGATAAAGCCGGGAAATCCCAGAAGCAGGAACAACAAACTCCAAACAAGATGTGTTCCATAATTAAAACCATTGTATGTGGCAGGCTAAAGTGGATCTTTTATATATTGTGTCTTTACATTTTTTCTTCTGTATCTTACATTTTCAAATCTTTCTATATGCACACCTACCACAGGACCAAATGTTTCATTGTCAGAAAGCCCTGTATGCAGGAAGCTCTCAAAGGAGGGTGGAGGGGCAGCCCCGAGAGGGTAGAAATTTAAGGTTATAAAGATAGGCAAAGAATTATCTCTCGAGAGGTTTAAGAAGTGTCATAGCCCTGATCTGGGATCCAAATCTCAGCCCTACATTTCCCCACAGGACAGTGACAGACCTGAAAGGTTCTCTGGGTGCTGCTGACCACCCACCTGCCTTTGACAGCCCTCCACAATGATCAGCTTCTGCTGGGGGGACGTCCGGGCAAAGACGATCTCTGAGTAGTTGGTTAAGAGCTCATCCAGCTGTTCTGGGCTCATGTCCTTCAGCTCCATGCCAGTCACCACTGCAGCTTTAGCGTCCCTAGAAGGGCCAGAAGGAACTGAGTGAGGCAAAAGCTTGGATCTTAGGCTGAAACATTGCTCTGGGCAGGAAGTAGGCTGAAGCCTCTTTGACTTCACCTGGAACCCAATGTCCTTGACACTAATACTTTAGTACTAATACTAATACTTTAGTGGGAAGATAGGGGTTATGAGTTCTGGGAACACTTTGGTCCCCATTTCAAGATAGTAAACTAAGGTGAAACAGGAAGGTCATTTTCTGATATACAATCGGAATAGGCCAAGTAGCCTTTTGCTTGTAGAAATGGGTGGGAACATCTGTGGGGCAATGTTTGACTTAAGGAGTAAAAAGAGGGTAAAAAACCTTCCTGTTTGTACGTTTTGGGTCCTAGACTTCAGCTTATGTCAAAACACATGGTAACCATTCTTCATTGTTGCTTATTTCAGATTTATAGTATCTACAGCACAATGGCTGTGTAGGCAGAACAATTATTGAGGTCCTTTTTGGGGAAAACTGCTATCTGCTGCTGATGAAAGTAAGGTTCTAGAAACTACTGGTTATGCAGATCTGACTGTGATGTTCCCTGCTAAACCATTTCAGAGGCTTTCCACTGTGCTTAGAGCAGACCCCAGAGTCCCCAATGTGGTCTGCAAGCCCAGCTGCAGCTGCTGCTGTTGAGCCTCACCCTTTGGCTCTCCCCTACAGCCCGTGGGACTCCCAGCCCTGAGTGCCCCACACCCTCCACTGCCCTCAAGCCTTCATAACCCTTTTCCAGTCATGCGTGTCTCTCACCTCACCTTCCCTTGGCTAACACTCCACATTTTCGTTTTCAAATCTTAGCTTATACACTCTACTCACAAAACACTGCACTCCTTTTTTTTGTTTGTTTAGAGCTTTTTTTTTTTTTTAAAGATTTTATTTATTTGTCAGAGAGAGAGAAAGGGAGAACACAAGCAGGCAGAGCAGCAGGCAGAGGCAGAGAGAGAAGCAGGCTCCCCACTGAGCAAGGAGCCTGATGCGGCACTCGATCCCAGGAACCTGGGATCATGACCTGAGCCTAAGGCAGCAGCTTAACCAACTGAGCCACCCAGGCGTCCCATGTTTGGAGCTTTTTTAGGCCCATGTTATCTATCCCATCTCCCATTCAGTGAGGTGAGTTGCATGGCTATGTATAATCCTATTATTTTTGGCATTAAGGAGGGCACGTGATGTGATGAGCACTAATAAATCATTGAACATTACATCAAAAACTAACGATGTACAATATGTTGGCTAATTCAATTTAGATAATTAAAAAAAAAAAAAACAAGTTAAGAAAAGCTCCAAAAATCTTTTGTCGATGAATGTTGTTTATACAAAGGAGTGCTGGAATACTCTCAGACTTTCAGGTATTGTTGTGCCCAGAAGCTAGAATTCTGTGTGGTCGTCTTAATTGGTAATTTGTTGCCCTGGTAATAATTTATTAACTGACAGGTCTGTATTCTGAAGAGTATAAATGCTTGGGTAAACCAGAAGAGGTTCATTGGTTTCTCTCTTTTCCCCCCACATTCATGAAATTATAATAAAGCCAATGACATTTATTTTTACACTGAGACTTTGGAGTCTTTAATCATTTAAACTGTCAACAGTCCAGGTGACTCTGGACTCCTCCCACTGCTTGAACCCTTGTCCTCTGTGTGTCCTTCACTGTACTTATCACATCAAAAGTAGCTTTTATTTTTCTGTCCCTCTGCTTAGATGGAAAGCTCCCCAAGGGCAGAGGTAGTGTCTGGTCTGTTTGCTACTACAGTTCCAGTGTCCAAGACAGTGCCTGGTATATTGTGGGCACTCAAAAATTAATTGCTGAGGGGCACTGAGGTGGCTTAGGTGGTTAAGCATCTGCCTTCAGCTCAGGTCATGAGCCCAGGGTCCTGGGATTGAGCCCCACCTTGGGCTTTCTGCTTAGCAGGGAGTCTGCTTCTTCTTGTCCCTCTGCTTATGTTTACTCTCCCTCTCTCTCAAATAAATAAATAAATGAAATCTTCAAAACAACAACAACAAGAAAAAAACAATTCTTGAAAGAAGTAACACATTAATGAATGGATGTACGAATGGACTAAAGGACAGACATACTACAAGAATTAGAAGACAGAAGGAAAAACTGAGTCTTTCCTCAGGAAGCTTTCATTCTATTTACTACCAAATAAAAAAGAAAACTGTATGTTCATATAGCTACACATTATGAAGCAACTAAACAAATACTTAAAATAAGCACTAAGAGCACCAAACACAGAGGGTTCTTAATTTTCCTGGTTATACAACTGGATCAATGGCAAGTAATTTCATGTACATTTTGTTTCAGTTTTTCTCACTCTAAATGTGGCACTGAAGTTTTCAGATCTGCTCCATTGGGTTTTTAGGTTTTTAAATTTCATATAAGGAATATATCACAGGTAATTTTCATGATACCAGTGGTACCATGGTACCAGCCTGGCATTACCCTGAGAGAGTGTGGGGCAAATAGAGGATTTGCTCCAAATAGCACAGCTCTTTAGAGCCAACAAGGATAAGGAATTGAATAAGAACTTTAGTTTCTGCTACACTGGTTCTGTGCTTACCGCTTGTTAACTTGCTCCACAGCAATGTGGAGGCGTTTTGCAATGTCTTCCACTGTTTCACTGTTGGCTGAAATGATACCCACACTCTTGGCAATAGCTTTTGCTGTTATTGGATGATCACCTGTAACCATAATAACCTAGAACACAAACAATGAGAAAGGCATGTGGACAATGAGAAACTTGGCTGGCCAGACAGTATCACCTACTCTACCATGACCTGGCAGAATATTAGTGATTATCGTGGTTTGCCCATATGGGCAGTTCTTGATCTTTAGATCAAAGACAAAACTGTCTCTGAAGAACACATTGATCTCATTGGCTCTGTCCTTGCTTCTGAGCTTCTTACATTTCCTTTTCTGACATTAGAGGAGGCCCTTTCCCTTGGATGTTACCTTACTTGTGAAAGGGCTAGTGGACGTGTACTTGAGAGAGCTTCATGTTGCTTCGGCAGTCTTGCTATTAACATGGTAATTGAATTAATTATTTTGGCTTTGGTAATATGAAGGCCAATGGGTTTTGGAGGCCAAAACTTAAGATTAAGTAATAAAACCTTTTATTGTCTATCATCGTCTAGGGCAAGATAAAGTCAATTCATGGTGTTCTCACTGCAGTTACTATTGTTGTTTGTTCCACACAGACACAATATTTTGCCTTTATTGGACAGTTACTAGAATCTTAATATAATGAAAGTAGAGATAAAAAGGGGGGGATTATGATATTTATTTGATATTTATCTGAGATTTAAATACTATCTCCTATGACAAACATCCTTAGATAACATAAAAGGAGGACTTCTTAAGTCAGGATACTCCCACCTTGATCCCCGCGCTTCGACATTTGGTGACTGCATCAGGTACAGTGGACCGAGGGGGATCAATCATTGATAACAGCCCCACAAAACAGAGGTTGGATGTGGGAAAATTCATGGCGTCTACATCAAATGTGTAAGTTTCTGGAAACTCGTCTGCTGGCAGGTAGAGATGACAGAAACCTGGAATGCACATGCATTTGGGAGTCAATGAAATTAGGTAAGAAATAAAAGGAGGAACATTTTCACACACTCCTTTACTATTTTACTAATACTTGAGAGTATATTAGAGTTGTTTCATTCTTTCAATTTCAACATGCAAGCTGTAATTAGGAAGGACTTATTTTTTTAAAAAGATTTTATTTATTTACTTGACAGAGAGAGAACACAAGTAGGCAGAGAGGCAGGCAGAGAGAGAGGAAGGGAAGCAGGCTTCCCGCCGAGCAGAGAGCCCAATGTGGGGCTTGATCCCAGGACCCCAGGATCATGACCTGAACTGAAAGCAGAGGCTTTAACCCACTGAGCCACCCAGGCACCCCTAGGAAGGATATATTTCATTCAAAAAGTAATTTACTATGTGCCCACTGAATTTTCTGGTATGTTCTAAGGATATAGAAACTAAGAGGGGGGTAGCCTTAGCCTCGGAAGATGTCTCAGTTTAGTGTACGGACAGAGACATAAAGAGGTAAAGCATAAAAAAGCATAGTGAGTGTTATAGGGTAGAGCCACCTGGGGAATCAGGAAAGACTTCCTCGAGGAGGTCACATGGGAGTTGACTCTTGAGAAAAGAGTTAAAAGTTTTTCAGGGAGAAGGGAGGGTTAGGGACAGGAAGGCCATCTGAGGCAGAGAAAACAGCACGTGCTACGACATAAACTGGGGAAAGAATCTGGGACACCAAGGGAAGGGTATGAAGCTTGGTCTTTGCAAGGAAAGTGTGAGAGAAAGGCCATTAGGAATGGAGAACCTTTTGTTACTCAGAAGGCATCTGCTTCTCATAGGTTAAGGTAGAAGGGATTCCTGTGTCTGGTGGGACCCCTAAGATCATGTGACTTTCTCATCAGCTTTTATATCAAATTTATTCTCAGCATGCCCCACAGCCTTACACATTTCAGTAAAGCACAGAGTCTGAGGGGAAAAACACAAGGTTCCTCGAGTGGTTCTTGTCAGATGGGTATCAGTCCTGCCTTGAAAACACTACCTGGTGCTGTGGGCTATTTAAGGCATGCTTAAAGCATTATCACCACATTTAATTATTTCATTTGCTTTACAAGCCCAAATATCCTTTAGAAATACACATTCCACAGATTCCATCTCTATTGGCAAGAACTTTTATGATGTTTAATGAGCCGTATCATCAACTGTGAACTTCTGTTACCTTGAATTCATATTCTGTAGTTCACAGGTGCCGTTCTGTCAACCCAGATTCTCATGACAGAACATACCACTTAGGCTACCACAATTAGGCATCTACCAGTGGCTGTATTTCTATGGTTTCTCCTCCACCTCCGACAACCCTGTCTCTATTACTGGCAGTATTTTCTCCCTAATAAGCAAGTGAGAAACTTCAACATTATTTTTAACTTATTTTTCTCCTCTAACTAGTTGCTAAGTCTTACCTGTTCTGCCTCCATGAAGTCTCTTGTGTCTGACCCCTCCATCACATTATGAGTGCCTTGGATCAAATTCCTACCCTCTTTTACCTCAATAAGGGCTGCCACTTCCTCCTGAGACCCATGCCTCTCCTCTCCCTGCTACTGCCAAGAATTAAACTCTATAAGTCTGTTTGGTTCACTCACCACAAAGCCTTTTGTGGCTCTCTGACTTTGGAATGAAACCTTAGTTCCTCACCCACATAAGGCACTCCATATCATGCCCTCCAATCTATTTTTCCTGCCCATTTCCTAGGAACTATGTCATCTCATCTATCTGCAACACTCCACTCAGACTGGCTCACTCACAATGTGGTCACACACCCCATCCATTTCTAACTCTGTGTTTTGGCCTATGTTGTTCCCTCTACTTCAAATATTTTCCCTCACCTTCCTTCAAGAATTGTTGTGCAAGGTCCAGTTTAAAATATAACTCCTTCCACGAAATCTTCCCAGATATTCTTTATCTGGAAGCAACCCCACCCTCCTCAGTACTTCTATATATTTATCATATTCTTCTATGATTCATGTGGATGCCATAGCTACTCAGCTAGATAATAAGCCTGTTTCCACTTATGCCCTGACTTGGCCATAGAGCCTCACACCCAACAGGTGACAGGTAAGGGTTATGTCACCAAGAGCTCACCCAACACACGCTCCCCCAGGCCTCCCAACTCCATGTACGCTGTGTGGAAGGCCTCGGCTGTGTTCTTGTCCAGAGGCTGCTCCTGGCCATTGACCATGATGGTGCTGCACTTCTCTAAGATCCTCTCAGGAGCCCCTTTCATCACCAGGAGGAAGCGCTGGTCATTGGGGTCATCGGTTTTGTGTATGGAGAGCTGGGAGGGAAGGAACTGAGCATGTTAACATATTCCCTGCCATTGGATGGTGACACCATCCTTACTCATAAGGGCCTGAAATGGACAATCTCTTAATTAGCAAAGATTAAAGGTATCCCTTTCTCTCATGGGCTACTTATCCTTGAAATGAAAAGGAGTGTTCACTACAGGCATGTTCTATCCTTTTTATTTTGTGGTCAAGTAGTATGTGGAGATCTAATCTTGGTCCAGTTTAGGCACCCTGAACTTGAATCCAAAGTAAGTAGATCTCATCTTTCAAACAGAAACTAGTTGCTTTACGGAGGCTAGATGTGGCTGTTGTGCTGTGAAGTCTTGTGTATTGAACCAGATTTGGGGTGCCATGGGATTCAGGGGACCATCAGCCACTTTGTCTTGCTTCTTGTCTCTACCTCCCTATCATAGGTAGCTAGGTATTTTGAGCTCAGGCAGGCATGAGGGCAGCAGGAGTTCCTATGCCTCTTCGTCTCCAAATCAATCCAGTTTTACTGCCTGGTAGTGAAAGAAAATGATAGGGGTGGAGGAAGTAGACACCCTTACATACAGGCTTTCAGGACAATTAAGTAACACAATTTTAATATCAAAAATCCTCTCACCTACTGATTCTACTTCTAGATTCATCCTAATAAAGTAATTGGGAAAAAAATCTGAAAACAAAACAAAACAAAACAAAAAACCCCAAAACTTTATTTAAAATGGCTTAGTTTTATGGAAGCTGTTGTTATATACCAGGTACTCTTCTAAACCTTCGAAAGGAATTTCAGGAAGCTGGAGTGTTTGAAAGACAATCAGTAAGTTACTTAAAAAAAAAATCTACCATTTTGGGTCTATCAGTTGATTCTAAATTCTAGTTCTTAGCCGTCTGGATACCAGAGCGGAGCACAATAAAAAATAAAAAAGTAGAGGGCAAATGTATATATATATTTTAATAGCCAAGTAAACACATTAAAAAAACCTCAACTATCTAACCAAACCAAACCCAAACCTCCCATCTATTACCACTATCATTTCCTCAAAGATAGGATATTTTAACATTTAAAAAATAAAACAATAAACACTTTTATAGTATGTACTCTTCTAAGTGCTTCACACATTGACTCATTTAATTCTTGAAACTACCCTAAGGCTGTGAGTACTATTATTATCACCTTTTACAAGGAAGGAAACTGAGGCACCAAGGGGTTAACTGGCATGAGAAAGGTCATGCCCTAATAAGTGGCTGAGCTGGGATTTGAATTCAGACTAGCAGGCTCCAGAGTCCCCATCTTAATCAAGTAGCATATAAAGGATAATCTTTTAAATTAAATACATTCATCTTTATATAAAACTTCATAAAACACCGTCCTAATTTTCCAGTTTGCCACAAACTATTGGAAATGTTTTTATGGGCTGGTCTCAGTTTGGAGAATTGTTATTCTAAAATCAGTAAGACACAGACTTTCTACTTTGTTTCCTTTAGTTGAATGATACCCCAGAGACCTTCCAAGGTCACAACATAGAAGACTCTTTTTTGAGTGTTGCTCATGTGTAGATATAAAATGGCACTAACAGCCTCCAAAAAGGCTCTTTGGCCTCTTCTGCAGGAACTCATAGAGGTCTTCCTATCTATCAGACTATCCGAGTAGTCCTAACTCTGGGTAGCCTACTTTCCCCTTCAACATTTAGGACATGAGGCCTCTTGGAACCTGCTTTTTCTCATTTGTCACATGATGAGGAAATTCTTTACTAGAGTAGATGGAGCCCCAGCATGATTGCGAGTCTTATCCCTGATTAGAAGGGCTCTGGCCCTTATTAGCTGTGCGGTAATGCTCTGTACCTCAGTTTCCTCATTCTCAATCTTATGGAGTTGGGAGAATTGAGAGATTGAATACATGAAGAAATTAGCATATAATAACTATCATTACTATTGTTATATTAGGATCATTACTCATTCTATTTTCCTTTCTGTTTTGAACAAGAAATCTGATTTACTGGCTTTAATATTTTACTTCATACATTTTTTAGTTGTCTATTTGGCTAACTACAATTCTTCTTTGGCTGGTTATCCACAAAGATGTTTGCAACACAGTTATTTCCCAATCCTAAATGCCGTCCAAACAAAATGTGAGGGTAAACACCAGAAACTTTTACACAAACATGTTTATCTTATTTATATACTTTCCTGTTATGCAAAGACCAAGTCACAAGGGCCTGCTCTCTGCTTTGGTCTATGGGAAGTCCCACCTGCAGCAGTAAGCCAGGCTACAAACTGTCATTTGTCCCACTCTGAGGAGGATGTAGCTAGATGACCATTGGCTAGTCTGGAATGAGTGAACACAGATAGGCAATGATAGCCATTTTCTTCCTGAGCAATGGGTAGAAAGGAGGTCCCTGTCAACTGCATATGGGACAGAACTGGAAAACAGCATGGCTGGTAACAGTCATCTGAGAGACTATTCATTGGTCTTCACAAAGGGCAAGGTTTACTCACAAGGCCCTAGCTAAACTGTTCTGCTTCCGTGTTGTGGTAGACAAAGCATAGCCTTGGGAGTTGAAAAGACATGTGAAAATTGGTTATGCCACTTAGATGCTTGGGAACTCTGGTCACATCAACATTTTCTAAGGGCCTGTTTCCTCACCTAGAAATTGAGATTAATTACTCCCACCTCAGGCTTATCATGAGGATTAAATGAGAGAATGTATGTAACGTGCCAGATACAGACTAAGGGAGCATTAAATGTTAGTTCTCCCCATTCCCCCACTTTTCATTTATCCTTTAGGATGTGGCTTTTGCCCCTCACCTGTGCAAATGGTACCTGGTGGTGGTAGAGGTGGCATATGTGTGGGAGTGGGGGATGGATGTAATGTAGATTGATCATTCACAGGAACATCCAGGCCCTGAGAAGATCTTCACTTTTCTTTTTTCTCTACCTATTTCTGGCAAAGGAAAGAGGCCAGCAAGGGAAACCTATTCTGGGCATACCAGATGCCCAGGACCTGTATCCCTGAAGGCTACTTTTGAAGTCAAATATCATTCAAAATACATACTAACCAGAGAACACTTACAGGTAGAAATGCCATCCTTGTGGTAATAAAGATTCAGTTGTGAGGAAAAACTCACCTGAAATTTGTTGGTTGAGTTAAAAGGGATTTCAGCTACTTTGTGGTTTCTTTTTCTAATTTCCATCACATCACCTAAAATGACCTCTGAGAACTTCAAAAGAGCAGTTTCGGAGGCATCTCCAACCACAACTCTCTGAGAATCAAGAGATAACAAATATTTGTAGCACATAATGTTTTTCTTAAACATAATCTGGTTCTTTTGTGATTATTTTAAATGAGCCAGCAGATGGCCTAAGCTCAGTATCTAACAAATGACAGCACCACAATGAGCCACTGACCGAACCATGGTGGAGGTGTTAAACTGGATGATGGTGCTTACTGGCATTAGGGTAATTCAAAATAGTCTGAGCTCTGTGAGACCTGGAGGGCTGCATGAAAGAAACTGCTACAAACTAGTCTTGAAAGATGGGTGGATAACTGACAGAAAGGAAAAGAAGAAAGCCTTCTGGAAATCAGAATGCCATGAATGAAGGTATGAAGTGGAAGAATTCCACTGTAAGTGCTTGGATGTCCAGGTGGAAATGGGGGATGCAGAGATAGAGAGGAAGCATTAAATGTTAGTTTAATGAAAGGCAGGCAAGGTCCAAAGCTTGAGCTGCAGAAAACAGATGCATGGAAAGTCTTTGAGCAAAGTTAAGTGAAGCGGTCCATCTAAAGAAGTATTTAAGGAAAATTCCTGGTATGCAAGAAAGACTGGGGGGAGGGATAAACTGTAATCATGAAGGCCAATCAAGAGGTTGGTATAATTAATTAGATGTGAGGTACTGGCAATAACAGAAAAGTAAAATTATGTATTTATTTGAAGCAAGAATAATAGGACCTGGTGATTCACTAGATATTAGGAACAAAGAACGTTAATGATGACTTCCAAAAGTTTTGGACTGGATAGTAAGTTAAAATGGTTATGCCACAGAAAAGTAGAAAAGGGACAAGATAATGACTTAGAGCTTGGCTGGGTACAGGTGGAAAGTGGCATGTATAATTTGTTGAAAGCCTAACACGGCAAAACTTTCAAGTGGAAACACACAGCTAACTAGAGATCCATGGAGTTTGGGTGAAAAATCAGAATTGGAGATAAGGATCTGAAAGATATGGACAGAGAAATCATGGGCCAGGAGGAGAACTGATGAGCTGTCTGACAAAGAAAGAAAACCAACCAAACAAGAAGTCTAAGAAAAAGGAAGAGTCAGTGAAGGAAACAGATGGCAAACAGAAAATTCCGGAGAAGGTAGACTCAGTGACTGACTCAGAAGGAAAGGAGAGGGGGAGAGGAGAGAAGAAGGGGAGGAAGAAGGGGGAGAAAGAAGAGAAGTTTGGTTTTGTATATTCTAACATTCCAGGGCCCCTTAGCACTGCATCTAGGAGTGCCAGGAGGAATATGTTCTAAGGTCAATCCTTCTATTTCCTGCCAATTATATTTTAAACTTCAGTGAATGGCATTTATGTAATAAAGAAACTTTGATTATATCTACTTAGTTTGTAAAGGAAAGTAACTTAAAGGTACATTCATTTTCAGGAATGAGAATTTTCAATAGAACTAAATCAATGTTCTGAGGACTTTCATACATCTCTGATTTCTCAAAGCAAATAAGGGTAAAGAAAATTTTCTGCAGGTCTTGTGAGTCAGACTTGCTATTACCAGTACAAACTTTACTCAGTGGGAGAGATTTAAATCAAGCGCCAAATCAAAACAGAGAAAATGACTTCAAACGGGCTGTGATTTAAGACTGAGTGATACTGAAGCTTTACCTTCATGATGGGGACACTTTCTTGTCCTGGACTGAACTCAGCTCTATTACACAATGTTATTATCTTTGATAAGGAGGCCCAGGTTCCAGAGCTTTGATCAAAGACTTGGTCTGGAAAATAGAACAGTGGATGCTGTGGGTGCTGGACCTAATATCCATACTATTCAACCAATTCTCTGAGTCTGCACACCGATGTGCCATGTTCTGCTCAGCCCCCTCTACTCAAGTCCACAGCTTCAGGCCACACTGAGTGTTGCAGAAGACTTACTTGAATGGTCTTCACTGGTGTCAGCTATGAAGATCTGATTGTCAAACCACAGATGGGCCACGGTCATCCTGTTCTGGGTCAGAGTCCCAGTCTTGTCTGAGCAAATGATAGAGGTGGAGCCAAGGGTCTCCACTGCTTCCAGGTTCTTCACCAGGCAGTTCTTCTTGGCCATCCGTTTAGCTGTCAGCGACAGAGTCACCTAGACAGGAGAGAAAGAGAGAGAGAGAGAGGAAGAAGTTTTGAGAAAAATCATTTCGAACTCAAGCTCCGCAACATGGAAGCAACTGGAGCCAAACTGGTTTCAGGACGGAGGTATTGTTACAGATGTGGCAAAGCTGACCAAGTGGTTGATAAACCACATAAAGTCCTACGTATACGCCATATTCCTTTTATTAAATGTAGGAGGTAAACAATGTGCCTAAGTTCCTCAGTTGTCGAAATTGCCAAAGAGTCTTTTTTCTTTTTAAGAAATGTGAAAATGTAGGGAAGGTGTCAGGCTTCCTGAAAATCTGTAAGTGGTGGTTTGCATCTGTCTTATCTAGATCTTTTTTTTTTTTTAATCTTATCTAGCCCTTAAGGAGAAAGATAATATGCAATTTGCTGATAGTGCTCCTAAAAACGAAAATATAAAGTTTTCTAGGATAGTGTTAAAAATGTTAAAAATATCACAATTCCATTTGTCTAAGAAACAATCTATTCAGAATGTCCCATGGTGTCCCTTACAGGGAGTGTCACTCTGAAGATGGAGGAGGCTCGCAGTGTACGGTGGGCAGACACCCAGTACAGCAGAAAGCAGAATGCTGTGTGTTAATAGGGTCAGGGAACAGGCCACCTAGCAGCATGGACTCACAGTGACAGTGGCCAGGAGACCCTCGGGCACATTGGCCACAATGATGCCAATGAGGAAGATGATGGAGTCCAGGACCTGATACTTCAGGGACACTGCGATGATGAAGAAAAGGATGCCAATGGAGACGGCCACTCCTGCCACAATATGAACAAAGTGCTGGATCTCAATGGCAATGGGTGTCTTCTCATTTCCAACTCCTGAAGCCAGTGAGGCGATCTGACCAATGATGGTGCGGTCACCCGTGTTGATGACCATGCCAGTCGCTGTGCCTACAGGTGAAGTAGACATTTTATTCTGGGGATCCTCAGCTACGAGGGAACCACAGCCTGCTTACAGTCCTCTCTTTGCTGGTTTACATGATCAATTAGCACACAACATTACAAAGTTCTCTGGGCTCTTCAGTTCCATGCAAGATATGGTAAAAAGACAAGAGCATAAAGCCTGTAGGGGAGAGGTGATATGGGTGGGGCATGCAGTCATGGGAACCAGCCAGACATACCTTCCAGACAGGTTGTAGAATAGAAACCAATGTTCTTTGTTTCCAGGGGACTATCGTGGGTAAACTCAGAGGAACGGGGCTGGGGTTCAGATTCTCCAGTGAGAGATGAGTTATCTACCTAGAAGAAATTTTGAAAAAAGTTCAAGACTGGGCATCTTGTTCCCTGCCCCAGTAACATTGAGATCTAGAAAGACAACCGAATAGCAACTAGTTATGAGCGTGATCTTTGAGGTGCCCTCTGGTGCTTACCTTACAGCCCTGAACAGACAACAACCTGACGTCTGCAGGGATCCGGTCTCCTCCTCTAATCTCCACTATGTCCCCCACCACTAGCTGCTCTGCCGGGATTGTCTTCTTCTCTGAGTCTCGAATGACAAGAGCTTGCTACAAAAGAACACAGAGACAGATGCTTCAGATCCTAGAATGATGCCAACTCTCCTCCATCCACATCTCTCCACTTCTCCAGAATGGAGGCACTGGAAGGCACAGCTGTCAGGATGGCAAAAATAAAACAAAAACTTTTGCTTGAGGCCTGAAGACACTAAGAACTATCTTTTCTTGAGGAGGAACTCTTAGAGATATTCTTGGAAACAGAAAACGCTGCTGTGGGCAGATATAACAAACTACCAGCCCAAGCATGACAGAGAGGGACAATTAAGGATGAATGATCTTGGCTAGGATGTCTGGGAAGGACTGTAATGGCTGAGCCAAAGGGTTTAATACTCTTGCTCGCGTCAGGAAGACTTGAACGGGGTAGAAGGCAGATCTCCCACTTCTTAGCATGGACGAGTCCATCCAGAACCTTCTCTAGCTGGCAGCTCTGTGGGCCAGGGGCAGTGTGGTTTTCCCACTGTGCTGACAGTGGTGTGTGATTTCCCTAGAGGACTCCTAACATGGGGTCCTGTGGGAAGACAGGAGCAGGGGGCCTCCCTTACCAAGAGCAGTTTGGGGCAACATGCAGAGAGACTCCAAAATGGGTGCAGAATTGGTCACAGATAAAAAATTGTAGGTTGACCTCCTTGGCTACTGGGGAACACTCCTGAACTTCTACAACTCGGTCTTAGAAGCTCCTGAATTCCTTTTCTTTGAACAGTTCACCAAAGCTCAAGAACAATAATAGAAGATGTTGTGTGATGACCGATGTTTGTCTTATTTTGCTCTTGACTAAGCGTCTTCCTGTATCTTACTTCCCTGATGATCTCAAAACGCTGTGCGAAAATGGGGCTTCAGAAGGAATGCCTAAGACTTCTCAGATAGCAAAGGGTGGAGTGCTGACCCTCTGCCTCAGAGGCCCGCCCCACTCTCCTCCTTATCTGATGCTTCCTCATCTGAAGTCACATGGAGACCAGAGAGGGATGGCTGCCACTCACCTGGGGGATCATCTTATTGAAGGTGGCCATGATGTTTGTGCTTTTTGCCTCTTGGTAGTAAGCGAAGATCCCTGTTAAAATAACGACCAAGGCAAGCACGCAGCCCAAGTAAACCTGGATAAGGAGAAGCAGCATCAATCAGAAAAACAGGCTTCAGAAATGAGCCAGGTCCTAGGGCTAGAGCTTTCCTTGCAAAGGTGAGAGACATGGCAGTGGGATCCTGGTGTCATTTACAGGTCACAGAATTTACCTATTTAAAGTGTATAATTCAATGATTTTTGATGAATTTACACAATTTTGCAACAATCACCACAATCCAATTTTAGGATGTAGCCATCATCCCAATAAGACCACTACTGCCCAGTGGCAGTCATTCCCCACTGCCGCACCCAGCCCTTGCCACCTATGATCTGCTTTCTGTCTCTAGGATGTGCCTGTTCTGGACATTTCCTATCAATGGAGTCATACAGTGTGTGGCCTTTTGCATTTGGCTTCTTTCTTTTAGCATCATGCTGGACAGTTCAGTGTTTTGGTTTTAGTGCTGTTATCAGCAGACATAGATGCTCCCCATGTTAAAGGGATACAATTAGCTTTGAGGAGAGAGCGACCCAAAATATTTCACATGGATGTAGATATATTTTTTCCCCCTTAGGAACTTATAGTGTGTGTGTGTCTCTCTCTCTCTTTAAAATTCATGCTCATGCTGCCTCTGAGACATCAGAAAGTCAGCTATAATTTGTATTTTACAGCTGGCAAAATTATTGATTTTCCTAAACCTGCACAGTGATGGATCAGTGTGGACTCCTGATTGCAGCCCACTGCTCTGCCCACTAATGGCCTTACTTTAGGGTTGTTTTCCCATTACTAGTTTAGCAAACCCAGAAGGAGACCTCCCCTTACATTGTCCAGGGATGAGGATGTATTCATGGAATACTGGATCCCATAAGCAATCCAGCACAGGATGGCTCCTATCCACAGAAGGATGGAGAACCCCCCCACCATCTGCTTAAGGAACTTGATGATCTCTGGTGTTTCCTTGGGAGGAGTGAGGGCATTGGGTCCATTCCGAGCCAGGAGCTCAGCAGCCTGGGTGCTGGAGAGACCCTGAGAAAGCCAGACAAAAACAAATAAGAATTAGACATTTCTCTTCCCTCAGACAGATGTCATTCTTCTGCAGGTTGCGGGTAGGAGTTACCATGCCAAGAAGGGCCTGTGAAAAGTGGATGATGTCTTACCTCCCTGAACTCTCACTGTTTTAAAAAGAATATTTAATATAATGCTTAATATCAGCCTGGCAATGTACTCTGTACATTTGTTTATTTACCCTTCACAATGACCCGCTGATGAAGGTGCAATTATTATCCTCATTTTACAGATGTGGAATTTGAGGCACATGGAAGTTAAATCACCCAGCTAGTAAATGGGCTCCAGAGCCATTGTATTACACTTCGCTAAGGTCTTTCAGTTTCTTGGAGATTTATCCAGAGACAAGAGTAACTTGGCTAAGGAGGATTTGAGATACAAAAGCTAATCACTAAAGTTAAGGCCAATGTGGTAACTATCCACAAAATATTCTCTTTTCTGGAACTTCTACATATTGCACTGGCTAATTTTTCATCCTTAAGTCTGGTGTCTTTCTGCTTTTCTCTATATCCATCCTAAGTTCTAAGTTCTGCCAAACTAAATTCTACCAACTCAAGCCCACATGTATAGTCACTTCTTGCCAGAAGCCCTCTCTGGTAAGCATGCCTTCCACAAGTGTACAGAGGGCCCTCCACCCCTCATGAAATCCTGTATTGTGACTCATAAGGTTTTTTTTCCCCCACAAACTCTCCTTTAAGAAGAAAGTCTTGTCATTACTTTTTCTTCCTAATCATGTTGTAAGCTACTTAAAGGACAGCTTAAAGACTATCCAAGGGGCTCCTGGGTGGCTCAGTTGGTTAAGCTTCCTACTCTTGATTTTAACTCAGGTCATGGCATCAGGGTCGTGAGATCAACCTCTGTGTTGGGTTCCATGCTCAGTGTGCAGTCAGCCCAAGATCCTTTCTCCCTGCCCCTCCCCCTACTCATGTGTGCTCTCTCTCTAAAATAAGTAAAATAAATCTTTAATTAAAAAAAAAAAGACTCTGGAATGCCTGGATGGGTCAGTTGGTTAAGTGGCTGCCTTTGGCTCAGGTCATGATCCCAGGATCCTGGGACAGAGTCTGGCATTGGGCTCCTTGCTCAGTGAGGAGCCTGCTTCTCCCCTGCCTGCCGGTCCCCCTGTTTGTGCTCTCTCTCCCCCTCTCTCTGACAAATAATAAAATCTTAAAAAAAAAAAAAAAAGATGCTATCCTTGTTAATTTTTGTGTCCTTTATGCGGTATCCTGATTGTTTTGTAACAGAGGCTCAAATATTGGCTGAATAACTGGATTTGAAGTCACTAACTTGTAGTCAGAATAAAATTCATCTCTGTCATCACTGTCTCCTTCCTACTTTTTCTCTACTCTCTCAGCCCCATGTCTTGCCATGGCCCTCTTGACCACCTGACCAAATCTCCTCCTCCTTCTGCTTCTCTACCTTGGTAACTGGGATCAGGGATTTGTTCAAATACCCCAATGAAACAAAGTCCTACCTGCTATTTCTCTGAAAAGTCTCTGGAATCTGTCCCCTTCCCTTTCCATCTTACTGCTGCTGCCTCGTTTCAGTTCCTCATTTTATATTCCTGGGTTATTGTCTCATTCTTCTAGACCCTTCCATCTCCCACTTAAATAAAAAAGAAGTTCATCCACCTACCTACCTATATCTGTATATATCTTGTACCAGAATTCCCTTTTGAAAGCCAATCTTATTTAAATCACTTCCTTGTTTAGAATTTGTGTATAACTAATAAAGCCCTTATTCCTTAGTTTAATATGGAAGTGCTTAAAGGTTTCACCCAAACTGCCTCTCCACAGTCTCATTTTCCACCCTTTTCTCTCCCCTTTCCAAACACATTATCTCCCAGAAACTCCAGATTGCTCTCCAAATATACTCTGTTCTCCCTGGTCTCCTGGGTAGTCTGCTAACTTAAACCCAAATCTTCCTCCTATGTCCTGATTTAAACACTGCACCATCCAGGGAGCCCATTCTGGTTCCTCTGGTCAGAAGAATCTGTCACTCACTCAGCACACCATTTAGACCTTTCTCTTTACCATCTAAGTCGAACAGACTGGATGTTATGATACTCTCTTATATACCTGCCTCCCCTGCTGCTGCTCAGTCCTTAAGACCGGGGATCACCTATCCCTCTTTGGCCCTCTCACTGCTGGTATTGTGTGTTGCACATAGTGGGGCTTTTTGTTGACTTGAACAGATGTATCCAAATCTCCTGATGTCAAGACACCAAAGCTTTTGACATTTAATTTGAGTTTGAATTCACACAAGGAAGCAGTCCTTCTGTGGTGGGGGAATTTGCCAGACACCTGAGAGCATACCAGTCTCTCCTGGAGTCATCGTTCCTTCTCAGAGGAAGAGGCAGACAAGCAGTGTTGTAAGCCTGTCACTCTGGATGGTTGCTTTTTAACACTGGTTTTCCCCATTCTTTGATAAGACCTTATACTTCCTGGACATAAGGATTAAAAGCAACCTCTGACAATGACCATAAGGAAGTGTCCGAGCCTTTCTGAGGATACCACAGCTTTCCTGCAGTTATAATCAAAAGGAATGTTTATAGCCAGGAGTCCAGCTCAGCAGAGAGGCTTGACTCCAGGCTTTGGTTCAGGCACACCAGCTCTTGAAGTTAACCAGCCCTCTTTTACATGCTGGGCTTGTGCGTGACTGGTATTCTTAAAGTTGCTGCTTCAACCTAAAGATGCCGTCTACTTTTCCACACACTTTAAGCACATGGCTTTAAAGTACAGTCCTTTGCATAGTCCCAGGGCTTTTCTTCCCAAACCTTAATCCCTTGATGACTTACTGTAATGATGTTTGTACCATATTTCTTTTCCAGTTCCTTAATGCTGAGTTTGTGGTCATCCTGAAGTCCATGAAAGGAAGAAGAGAGTGCATTAATAATTCCAAAATACTCAAACCCTAAGCTTTGACCAGCCCATGAAAACTGAGAAGCACTGATGATAGGAGGAGCCAGGAAGTGAGGGAGAGAATGAGAAAACCCTCTGTGCCAGGTGGTTATTACACTGAGGGAAAAGAGAGTCTTGCTACAGGAGAGGCTTGCCTTCTGATTCACTGGCCCGGGGATTTTCTGGCCATCCCTTGAGTTCAGACTTAGTTTGTCCTTTGCCACATATTAGCTGTCTTTAGTTTTTATGAACAAAGTATGTCGTCTCAATCTGATCTTCAGCACATGCAAGTCCTAGCATACCTGTCTGCTGTCCAGGTACTGGTAATCTGGATACTTAGTTCAGTACCTGAGTTCTGGGATTAGTTGAGGGTGACGAGCAATACCAAACCAGACCAGACCCATCTGACAACTCTTTACCCATGGAGCCTTCATTGGGCAGGTAGTCTCTGGTAGAAGCAGCAAGCCTTTTCTTAATCAAGTACTTGGGACTCAGAGAGTTTATTTGGTAGAGAAGCCCTACAGATTTAAAACTGCCAAATAAACACCAGTATGACCCACACTTGCTAATTTTGTTATAGAATCGTTAAACTAAAGCAGAATTTTTCAACTTTGGCATTACTGACATTTGGGCCGATAACTATTTGGGTGGGGGGGGACTTCCATCCACTATATGTCACCTACTAGCACACCCTCCCTGGAGTAGTGATAACCAGAAATGTCTCCAGACCCCACTAAATGTCTCATGGGGGGCAAATTCCTCCTATCCTGTCCCTTGAGAGCCACTGGGCCACAGGATTAGAAGCCTTTTCCTGTCTCAGAAAACCTAGGGGCAAGTAAGCCTTCTTTAGCCCACCTCGACAACCTAGCACTCAGGATTCTTTAAGTTTTGATCATCTGAAACAAAGATTTATACTGTGATGGATACTAGAACTATCTCTTTTCTTAAGTATATGGAAAAAAAGGTTACCTGTTAAGAGATTAGATTTTCCAATTAAAAAATTATTTTGTCCTCTCCTCCGCCAGATTCTGCTTTACTCATTTAGTCATTGTACCAATATTGATTGAAAGATATTGCTGGGGATTCAAAGGATTAAGACAGTTTTGTGCAGTGTGCTAAATTCTGGGCAGATACAAGTAACAGGTGATTAGAGTCTCTGATTGCATGGATGTATCTCATAGTTTAAGGGGCCTATACAGTGAGGCAGAATAAGGCAGAATATCTTTCCTTCTTTAGCCTTGGCTTTGGGGACAAGAGCATGGGGGAGGGGGAGGGCCTGGAGGTATGGTGGGTGCCTGTGGCGTACCCTGCTGGCCGGCACTAGAATAGCTCAGGGCGTCATCCTATATCTCAGACTTCTGTCAGGTCATTACCCGCCTGTTGATTCAGCAACCAGGGATACTTTCTTTCTTGTCAAGGATCTAATGTGCCAGAGGGCATCCCAGTACACGGTCACAGATTAAATTATAGGATTCTTGTGAGAATGTTGGGAAATAAGAAGGAAAGATTTTCCTCTCTCAGCCGGGAAGCAGGGGAACACTAGTTAACACTACAAAAATTATCTTTCTATATTATACATCTTTACGAAATGCTCAAAGAAGGGAGATTCTCTTCATAATAAACAGGCATATGATAGAATGGATATATATTCATGTTATAAGTAGCAATTTTATGGAAGACTACATATGTCTTCAATCCTGAATGCTAGAGATACATAGGAAATAAGAATGACTATTATCTGGTGCTGTGCTAAGTCTTTCTCCTGCTTTATTTCACTTAACCTTTTAAACTACTCCAACAGGTAGGCACTGTTTTTTTTTTTTTTTTTTTTTAATTCCTATTTTTCGAAATAGGAAGTGAATGTCAATCAAACTGGGATCTGAATTCAGGTCAGTCCAATTTCAGGGCTGTGTGTTCTTAAATGTCTGTCAAAACATGCATGGGCAAATACCTAGTGGTGTGTTGCTAAATGTTTAACAAGCTCTCCAGGAAAAATAAATAAAAAACTCTGACTTGTATTTACTGATTTTTCACTATAACCAAGTTCTAAGATGCTAACCCAATGTCAACCAACTTGGCAAATTCCTGAAAATTTAACAATGGGCTTTCTAGCCCACATGAACTCACACCACTACTGTCTGCGCCAACAATAACAGTTTTAAAGTCTGCAATGAACTGAAGGGACGATCTAGTCAAACTTAAGGCTTGCTGTAGAAGTTTCCCCCTTGACATTCCTGACACATAACCTGTCACATTTCAATTCTGAGGTAGATCTTGCCCATGGTGGCCAACTTTAACAACTCCAAAGTTCTTCCTTCACAGAATAACATTGTGCTTCCATAAATTACAAAATTACTAATTATAAATAATAATTTAATTATGAATTGCATAAATTATAAAATATTCTTACTCTTTTCTCATTTTTTCCCCTCATTCATGCAAATTGTTTATTTCCCACTTTATATAAAGAAAATGGTGCTTTACTAAAGCTAAGTAGTTTGCTCCTGGTTACCAATCACTTAAGTGGAACTTAACTGAGCCCAAGGTTCTCTGAATCTAAGCCCAATATACTTTTACCAGTGAAAGTATTCTATTTCATGGGGCATACATAGCCAAAAACCTAGCAAGGTTAGTGGCTTTGTTTTCCTCCTTCATGGTTCCAGCTCTGGTAGTTTTACCTTATCAGCTTAAAAACTGGCAGTTGGGTACAGCTATCTCAATGAAGCAGCCAGGAAGGAGAGAGGTCTGGGCTGTGCCTGTGGGGACTGGAATAAAAGGCTCTTCCCTCAGAGTTCTAGCTGGGAGTGCCTACAACCAGAATGCAGGAATCCCGCAGAAGCCCTGACCCCCAGGGCAGATATTATCACACCATTTATTTTAAACAAGGAAACAAATCTCAGGCGGATTTTCAAATCCTTGAGACTGATCCTTCTTTTGTTAAGAAGCAGGCTATAGGGGCAAGTTCTCAAGGGGAAAGGGCAGAACTCAGTGGACCCATTTGGCTTAAGGACCAAATCAACTGACCAAATCCAGTTCTTTCCTAAGCTCCTCCTTATGGTGATTCTTTCTGGGTTCGAAGCAGTTCTTCAAGCCTCTATACTTCTCCTTGCCATTCCTCTCGTCTGTTTGTTGGATGTCTTTGGTTCCACTGAGCTCCACGGAGTAAATTTCTAGTGTTTTCTGAAAAGAAAGCAGAAATACAATATTGGTCCAAGACGGGTTTTCTGAAGAGGTGTCGAGCACTTCTTTTTGTGGGTCAGGGACCTACAGGGAAGGGAGCCCCCTTCATTCTCTCCTCTAGAGAGAGTAAGGCGCACGATGTGGAGAGTTTCTCTCTCCCTCACCTTCAAACTCCCAGGCCCTTTCTCTCCTTTCTTCTCCAGTGTAAAGGATAGATGGCAAAGCCCTGCCGGCATCTCCTCAGGGTGACCCCATCCTGGGGTTGGGGAAGGTGGGAAGTTACTTCCACCAACTCGAGACAAGACCCCTCCGCCCCAGGGTCGCCCTAGTACTTTGCTCCCGGAGTGCTCAGGGCACACTCGCGTGTGTCCCGCTTCTTGGGTGGGGCGTTGCCCACGGAATCTCAGTCCCGGGCAGGGCAGGCTTTACAGACCACAGCGCAGCCGTGTAACCCCCAGCCTGGCGACACCCGCCACATCGGAGACGTCCAAGGACCCCTGGGGTTCCTTCCCATAGCGTATGGATTTGGGTCTTCCCCCGCCCCCCCCCCCCCCCCAGTCAGCTCCGGGAAGGGAAAGGAGCCGTGCAGAGGTCAGGAGCGCAGAATAAAGATGGCCAGTCCTTCCTCTTTCCCCTCGTCTTCCATCCCCTCTATACGGGTCTCGGGCCGGCGCCGGGGGCTTGCACGCACCTTGGTCATGGCGAAGGCGGTGGCGCCGCCGGCAGGCGGGCTTGGTGTACCGGCTCTGGCGGTGGCTGCGCGCGCAGGGCGGGCGTCCCGTCGGGCGGTGGTGGCGAGCTGCGGTGGCAAGAGCCCCACGCGTACCTCCTGCGGCCAAACGCCAGCCGCTGCCGGGGGGAAGGCGGTGTCCGCCTTAAATGCCGCCTGCCCCGCCCACGTACCTACCTGCGAGCAGGTTGCCCGGCCTCAGGACGCCCCGGGAGGCGGGAGTCCTGCAGGCGCGGACCTGGGCGCGGAATCCCGCGGCTGAGCTCCATCCAGGGAGCCAGGCGCGACGCGGACCTCGGCCAGGGACGTGGGGTACCCGAGGCAGCGTTGTCGAACGGCCGCAGCCTACCCTCCGACGATCACACGCCCTCATCCCAGCTTTGGTGAGACCCTCACCCGCTCTGCTTTTAAAATGTGCTTGCTAATAAAGGAATTCGTAAAAATACCTAAGCAGAGCGGAAGAATTGCTGCTTCTAGCAGCAGCTGCTCTCTAAGGTGTCGTGACTATAAAAGGCCACCTTATTAGGTGGATTTCCACAGGAGGATGAATTTCCACAGGCCAGTGTGGTGTGAGGGTGAATTTGGGAATTACTGAGAGAGCTCTGAGGAGTAGCTGAATTACCTTGCGGGATCTGGATGAAAAATTGGGAGTTCTGAAACAGCTGTGGAGGGAGAGAGTGGAGAGGAGAGATGGGAGAAACTGTGCAGTCAGAGGACTCAGAAATGAGGCTGCCTCCTGGGCAGAACTGAAGCTATAGGCTGGGGTCGGGTAAACACGCCCATCCCCTAAACGGGATGGACATCTCCTCCTGCCAAGGCTATAAACGCCTTTTTTCCTTTCTTCTTGCCTTCGTTCTTCCACCTTTCCTTTCCTCTTTTCTTTCCAAAATGAGAGAATTTGAAGTTAGACGATCCTTCCCCCACCCCTGGCCCCACGCTCCACCTCCCCCACCACACACACACACACACCCACTGTGGGGTTGGGCAACACCAATGTGTTACTTCTTAATTAAACAATAAGGGACAGGAAAATTTCGGGTGACATCTGTTTTGCAGATACAGATCACAGGTTCTTTGGAGTTGGAGGGCATGTTAAATTCTAGTTCACACTCAAGCAACAACTGACCCCTGGCTAAGTCTGTGTTGTGTTCTCCCCCTTGTCTCCTGGAGAATGCTCTTCAAAGGAAAAATTCTAAGACAGGGCTAAGGAGAAAGAAAATTTGTATGCAACTGATGATCCCACCGTTTGCTGGAAATCCAAGAGAAAGGATTTTGCAGGTACAAGTGGCTGCTTGCTCACCTTTCCCCTCTTCCAGCTCCTGCTCAACCTTTTAGGACAGAGAGAGAATAGAGAATGGCTTAGAGAAATGCCCCTGAACTCATGTTGAGTTCAAGCTTCAAAAGCAAACTCAGATTCACACTTAATTAGGGGAATAGGAGAGAGTGATGTAGGGAGAGGAATGGGCTAATGGAGAGGTGACAGCAGATTTTAAAAGCAGCAGATCCTAACAACTCCTCTTAGAGAAGCTTGCTGTTTATTCTTGTTGGTGTCAAGTTTGGAAAAGTGTTAGTTACTACCAAATTGGACAAAAGTGACATCGTCAGATACTCTAGCACCTCTGTAGTCCTGCAGAGTTCCTGATTCCTGCCAGGGGCCAGCTTTGGCCACTACTGCTGTGGGCCCACATGACAGCTTCTGATGCCATCAGGTATCCTGGACTGTGATTTCTACCACAGAGGACAAATGGGGCCACTCTACACACACCCACCCTAACTCCAGTTTCTGCTTTGCTATTGCTGGTCATCTTGCCCCAGAGTCCAGACATCCCAATATTTCTTGAGGAGAATGTCCTCTAGGTATCTGTAAGGCAGGTACCTGGAATAGTCCTCACATGATAGAATTATGGACTGAATTTCCGCTTGGAAACACAGACTTACTCACCTCTCTTTGGCCCCCGGAACTATCACCCGTCCTGTTCTGGCCAATGTACTCTGAATTTCTCCCAGTTCTATGACTCTCTTGAACTGGCTGTAAAGGCCAGGGTATGACTTGGGACACTGTCTCAGCCCAAATGCTCTAGTAGCAGCTTCTGCTTAAAGCAGGGTTTTCCTCTCTTTCAAAAAGAGCCTATCCATGCCAAGAATCTCTTCTAAGACTGTTCTCATTGGTAAATATTGTATACTTGTGATACGTTGTCATAATATATGTAACTACTCCTGGCTCATTTTAATCAATTAAATGCACACAATGTATATGAAACTGTACTAGATTAGGGGGTAGTGGGGGGAAATGGTACTAAAATTGTGTCATTCTCTGCCCTCAAGAAAGCTACACTTGAGTTGGAAAGGCAGATTTAATGAATAGACAATAGTAAATCACCCAAGCGAGAAAAGAATTTAGCACTAATTGGTATAGGCTCTAAGTGTTTTAGAAGTTTAAAGGAAAGATGCAGGAGATGGCAAGATTTTTATTTCTTAGAATTAATTTTTCAGATTTTTTTTCTATCCCTTTCTACTTTCTGTGAAAGGTGGGAGAGAGAAAGAGTGGTGGAGTTATGGATCATTCTTGCTGCCCTGAAGTGCCCCCTCCTGCTGTAGAGTCCTGGATAAAGGGACATCCACCAGCTGACTCAAGAGTGTGAGCGTGAAGATTCAGTACTCCAGAAAAGGGGATCCAGGTGCTAATGGGAAGAGGAAGGTTCACTTCCTGCCTTACATCTGGATCAGCCGGTGCCACTGCTGCCCACTGTCTTCTTCCTCCTGGATTCCTGTCCCACGCACAAGGGCAGTCCCTACACACCTGTGTTCCCTCATCATGCCAGGCTATGACTAGGCTGCATTTCTCCACCGACAAGGGCACCTGGATTGCAGTCAAGATGCAAAAACAAAAACAAAACAAAACTTTAGCCAAGCACACCGCTAAGCTTTTTCCTCATTTCTTCATGTACAAGAAACCCTGAGATGGTCATATGAACAACCTGCAGGAAGGAAACCTGCTTTCAGAAATAAGCACCAATACCATGATAATGGCGCTGCCTGAAGCTGTTAAAGCCCATGACCAGAGTGGATAATGGTGATTCCAGAAGTAGATAAAAGGCCTGCATGGGGCTTAGGTGTGGCCATGACACAGGGATGTTTTCTTCCCTTGTGAATATAGCTCCCCAAAAATGTTAGGTTACTACAATGCTTATTCTCTGTGACTTATTTTGGGTACTAAGATCCTTTCTCAAAAAATTACTATTTTCGGGGCGCCTGGGTGGCTCAGTGGGTTAAAGCCTCTGCCTTCAGCTCAGGTCATGATCCCAGGGTCCTGGGATCAAGCCCCACATCGGGCTCTCTGCTTGGCGGGGAGCCTGCTTCCCCCTCTCTCTGTCTGCCTCTCTGCCTACTTGTGATCTCTCTCTCTCTGTCAAATAAATAAATAAAATCTTTAAAAAAAATTACAATTTTCCTTTTAATAGGTGATTGAAAAAAAATTAACTGCATTCTGAAGTTCTTAAATTTGTTTTTTGAATCTTAGGGTGAAAAGATTTTCCTCATTTGAATCATCTTCACCTTTATCATGGAAGTTATACCATATATATGTGTAATATATATGACATATAACACATATGATATGAAGGATATTATTCATACAAATATGCTCAGTTAATTTTGCAGAAATTTGCCTCTTCTCATGAGTGAGGTGATACTCTCTTGGTCACCAGCTTCCAAATTCTTCAGAGTTAGAGAGAAAAAGCAGATACTCCAAAATTTATTTATTCCAAAATATTTACTGGAGGCCTGTGAAAAATGTGTAGGGCCATAGTAAGTCCCTCCCCTGAAAGAGCTTTCAATTTGGTTGAGGAGGTAAGATACATCACTCTGGATTAGAAAATTAATATAAAGCCATGTCCAATGCTATACCTGGGGGGACACCTGGGTAGGTCAGTCAGTTAAGTGTCTGCTTTCAGCTCAGGTCACAATCCCAGGGTGCTGGGATCGAGTCCCACATCGGGCTCCCTGCTCAGTGGGGAGCCTGCTTTTCACTCTGCCTGCCACTCCCGCTCTTGTGCCCTCTCTTTCCCTGACAAATAAATAAATAAATAAGATCTTCAAACAAACAAACAAACAAACAAACAAAAAAACAAAGAAACCCCAACTATACCTGGTCCAGCACTGAGTCAGTGGGCAAACACCGGAATTCCAGAGGAGCCAAGGAAGACGTGAGCTCTAGATAGTGAAGGATGGGTGATTCTTGAAGAGGGACAAGTATAAGTGGATTTTGAAGGCTGTGTAACCTGAGACAACTAGGGAGGTGTAGGGCAATGGATGAGGAGAGGAGGAAAGAGGAAGGTAATGGCTCCTGCAATGACCAAAGGGATGGGAATGAAAATGGCAGCATTCCAGGGAGAGAAAGGAGCCTGGTAGCTGGAGCAGACAGGTTCTTTCAGGGAGTAGCAGAAGGTCCACCTGTCAAAGTAGGACCCTGTAGGGGTTGGATTTCATCAATATGCCTTAGGGAGCCCTTGAGGATAAGAGCAATCTAATGGAAACAACATTTTGGGAAAGATGAGCAGTTCTAGAGCAAAAACTGGGAGCCCTTCTGACTCTGAAGTTCCTGGGTTTGCAACTGTCCCAGCATGAGTCTTGAACTCTTTCCTCTTTATTCTAGGTTCCTGTCAGTGAGCAGGTTCTAAACAAGGTGTCTTGCTGTTTTTGGCAAATGTGCTTTAGCTCCCTGACACCCTAAGCATGTCTAGTCTCTAAGCAACTGTTATTTTAGGCAGCATTTATTTGTTCTATCAAGAGTCTTTGGAATGAAATCAGGGAGAGAGCAAATGGTCATCACACAATGTACATTAGGGAAGCTTATAGGACTCTCCCCTCTCCATCCCCCAATAAATTTGTATTTATCCTGTGTTTCCAGGATGAACTGAGCTGTTCTAAGAGCTGGGGAAGAGGAGCTATGGAATTAAAGGACATCATAGGAGACATAGTCTGTCTTATCCAC